CTAAGAAGTGTTGATTCTTAACTGAATGAGCATTTTTCTTTTACCCATGATTTAAACTTTTAAATTATTTTGTTATTGTTGTTGAGATCACATACAGAAAACATTTATCAGTCCAACAATTTTTACATATTTCATTCAGTGACACTGATGACTTTTCTTCAAGTTGTGCAACCCTCTTTCTTTTCTAAGTTAATACTCTTCCATTAACATAAATTTACTGCTCATTAAGATTTCTGTCTAGTCTTTGGAGCCACTGTTATAAATTTGATACCATATCAATAATTTTAAGGAAGCTTTGGTGGCCTAGTGGTAAGAAGCTGCATTTGTAACACAAAGGAATGTGATTCTAATCCACCAGTTTCTCTATGGAAACTGATGGGCAATCTCCTCCCATGTGATTTACTGCCTCTCAATACATGCTAGAGGATCTGTGATCACATCAGCTGTGATCTGGCTCTGACCTGACAGCACATATCAACAACAGTGCCTAACATAAGCATTTTTTACCTGTCATGTCAAATTACTGGTTGCCTTATGGGGACTTTAGGGGTTATTTAAGACCTTTTTTCTTGTAAGAATGATACTAATAACTTGTAAGTTCTTTATATATATTAGAATAGAAACTGGAATTGATACTCTAGCTTTTAAAAACTAAATTTCTAGTCTACCTTTCAAAAATTATATTACTTATGTATACCTTTATCAGTTAAATGTACAGTTTTGTGTTCTGCTTTATTTCACACATTATGTATTCATGATTTCTTTCGTTAAAAAAGAATTCTTAAAGGACTCAAATAGCTGATTTACTTAGTTCTTATACTAAAGATTACAACTCCAGTTTATACATTTGACAACTGGCATTTTTCAAGTCTTTGTGTTATTTCTTTCTCCTTTATTCCATACCTGGGTAAAAAGATTAAAAACCTTCCTTTGTAGTGAGTCATAGAATCTCTATTCACCAATAAAACATAAACTAATATCCTTTTCCTATTCATGTAAGTTTAGAACTTGAGTGTTTGTCCTGTTCAACGTAACAAGCCTTCTCAAGCCCCCTTGATGCCTGTGTGGTCTTACCAATCTTGATAACAGAAAAAAATTTTGTAAAAAGAAAAAAACTTATTTTGCCTCTTTGGATGACCATAACAATCTCCCAAAGCTTAGATGAATCCATATTCTCCTTATAGAGGAAAAAAATAAGTATTACTTTCAGTAAGTGTTCTTTGATATGATATTAATAGATATTACATTATATTCAAGATATAGAGAATAATTTTATAACTGTCTATAGTCTACTTTCATTGCATTACCACCAAGTCAGTGACACATGGGGATATTATCCCTTTCTCGGAAGGTAGAATTTATTTAATAGTACTTTTGTTTTCAATTTCTGATCCAATGTTTACCTTTCTAAAAACAGTGTCTAATTGCTTTATTTCCACCCCTAGAAATATTTCACAGGGATTACACAGATACACTGTTGTTGTTGTTATGTGCCGTCGAGTGGCTTGTGACTCACAGCGACCCTATGTACAACAGCCCTAAACTCTGCTCTGTCCTGTGCCAATCGCACCGTCTCTGACACTCCCATCCTGATTATCCCAGTCACTGAATCAATCCACCTCATAGAAGAAGGCCTTCCCTTCCTGTGCTGTCCCTCCACCCTCCCAAGCATGATGTCCTTCTCCAAGGACCAGTCTCTCCTCACAATATGTCCAAAGTATGTTAGACGGAGCCTCTATTTCTATTAAATCAAAGTCTTATTTTTTCTTGGGTCCAAACTGTCCATTTTTTGTTCTCTTGATTTTTTTACCAGATACAGATTTAGTTATGACTCAACTGAGGTTTTATCATGACTCAAATGACCTCATAAAATTAATCTGAACAGCATACTGTCAAAAATATTCTGCTTCATATTTATTCACTGTAAATTTTTCCATTATTAAATTCTCGCAAATAAATTAAAACTATGTGACCATAGGAAATTAAAAACCAGTGGGGTTGCCCTGGTTTTATTTTAAATATTTAATCTGAATAGGACCACATCAAGTCCTACTCTTATGACCATTTAAGACTATGAAAATATAAGAACAAATAACTTACAAAGATAACTAGAGATTAGAAGGATGATAAGCCAATATGGCAATTTGACAAAACTAAGAACATAGTGATTATTCCCTAGGGTGACATTATATCAGTGTGTCATGCTGATACTCTGACAGGCAACCCAGGGGAGGGTGAGCAATGTCTGTGTCTTAGGTAATGTCTTAGTTCATGTAACTTGGAGGACCTAAGCCTTATAAAGTTGATATAAACATTAAATCTTTAGAATAAATATTTGCTTCTATTATAAACTCAGGGTTGGTTTTTTTTGCTGAAAGAACCATTTTATAAAAATATGCCTTAATCTCCATGTTATATCAGTCTCCCTTCGAGATTTCAACAACTCCAAACTATAGATGGCATTTACCATTAAGGTCTCTCAAAAACAACGATACTTGGTTCAGAAATTACCCCAATGAAGGTGCTGCCAGTTTCCTTAGAATCATACAGATGCGACTTTACAGGTACTGGTTAACATTTTACCACTGCTTAACCACAGCACTAAAGCCTTGAGAAGACAGCACAGAAACACCCCTGAGCAGTTTCAGATTCAGTTTTGTTAGATTATAAAGTAAGAGTAGGTTTGGGGTCTATTGTCATAAACCATACACATATTCAAGGAGAAATGGAGGTGTGCATTCTTTTGTGTTTCATGTATGTGAGAGATAACTCTTTACTTCCTTGTAAATTAAAACTGTATCCAGAATAAAGATCCTTTAAATGGTTTGCTTTTCTCCTTCTGCAGTTAGTTATGCTAAAATTATCATCAGAAAAGAATTCTAAAATAAAGGGAATAAAAAAATCTTAGCTATGATCTGTTAGACTTGATCACAATGTAAATTCTTAAACTTGTAGCTGCAAACATTGTAACTTCTCATCTAATTGGATACGTTCTCTATTTTGTTGAAAAGATCTGTTTTCCTAAAATGATTAATAAAAAGACTATCCACATGGAGCTCTGGAGGACTAGTGAATAAGGAGTGACTCTTTCAATCAAAAGGCAAATAATTCAAACCCATCAGCTGTCCATCAGGAGGGAGATGAGCAACTTTCTCCTGTGCTACTTACAGCCTTTGAAAACCTGCTGCAGCATCAGCTGAGTTGATTCTGACTCAACAGTAATGAAGGAGAAAGTGATACGTCTCAAGTTATATTACACAAAGAGCGAAACAACATGATATGTTAAGGTAATACAACAGATTTTCATACTTTTCTAACAACATAATCATGCTTTATTATGAAGTCTCTAACTGTATATATTGTACATGTTTATTAAATAAATTTCCCTACTAAGCCACCAGGGCTCCCTAAATCTGTTTTGATATTGTTGTTAAGTGCCGTTGAGTCTTTGACGACTCCTAGCAACCTGTGAACGAAAGACCTGAACACTTGTACAACTATAACTTTGGTCGTTTCTCCATGTTCATTGAGTTTCTGGAGGCAAGGCATTTTGAAAGTGGTTACCACTCTTGTTTCCAAGCTTGTTTTGATCGGGAAGCTCCACCAAACACTGTCCACCATGAGTAACCATTATCACATTTGGCACATTAGTGTCACAGTGTTTAGCATCACAATAACCACGAGTTACCTCTGTACAGCAACGCACAGACCGGAACTATACCACTTAGAAGAATGTTCGACAAAAAACAATTAGGATGGTTGAGATCTATGCAGGAATGTAAATATTGCAATTGTAAATAATACTAATACAATAATGTTAAATAACTTCCTTTTCTGAGTTTACTTGCACACTTCTTTCCTATTTTAAAGGCTCACTGTGGGGAAAAGTCAACCACTATATCAGAATCCTGTGCTGAAAGTAAATAGCATCATAGCCAAAGCCTGTGCTGAGCTCATACTAATGATCTTCATCAATTGGCAACAGTGTAATTGGGCCTTCTTACAAAGTGTCTGCAGACAGACATCATTTAGACATGTGCAGCTCAGTAGTTCTCAAGTTTCTATCTCATAAAATTGTCAGCAAGTTAAAATCATTATTTTAAGCTACTGAATATTGGAGTTATTTTTTATATATCAATGACAACCAAAACACCTGGGCAACCTCTCTGCTTACTTTATCCAGATGAGGATATGACTAATGTTTAAGCAAATATTTTAATTTTTTTAAAAAAAGCTAAATTTTACGTGCAAATATTTTTGAGAAATATGAAGAATGCTGTTATGCAAAAGCAGATGTTATAGAGATTAAATTTTTTGAATGTTACCATAAGTAATTTTGTATAGATGGCATGGTTAGGAGTCTAATAGTGAACCACTTCTAAACCTATTTAGCTTTAATACTTACTCGATCATTCCAACAGAATCAAGTTCATAAAGTAGAGTTTCAGGTGAATAACTGAAGTCCAGTGATCAAGCTAACCAGGTCCCAATAGTACACTTCTCCTCTACAAATGATGTGACCTTGCTCCAGAATCCCAAAAACCTGGCTTGTGCTATTTTCATAAATCTCTCTTTAAATTTCCTGTTGTGTCTTTTCTTCGTTGTTGACTCTTGCACCCTGTTTAGTGGGTAGAAAATGGGACATGGGGGCACATGATAATGAGTGTCTCTCTAGCAAGGCCAAAGGGATTGAAGCTAGCACAACCCCTCACTCCTAGAGAAGAAAGCAGATAAAGGGCCTATAGTTGGGTTGGAAGCCATTGGGCATCGTTAGGAATAAAGATGCTCCACCTTCAGCATGAAGGAGGTTTCTAGACCGTGAAAGCTAATGTTTGTGTTTGCTTGTTCAGTCTGGAATGCATTCAAGTGTGTACAAATACCAGGCGGCACAAGACTCCTTAATATTGACTGGGCTCAGGCTAAAGAAGGATCCAAGGTTCTTTGCTAGTCTTAATCCAATGGTGTCATTAGTGTCTTCAGAGAGGATTCAAACTTCTATATTAACAGCAACGTGTTTGAGAACAGGATTCGCAGGAGTTTCCACAAGCATTAGTGGTGGCACAAGGTTTGCAGGGAAGCTTGCAGTCCTCGCTCTCCAGCAGCCCTCGGTACGTGTTGATCTCACACTCCAGCCGGGCTCTCACGTCCAGCAGCACCTGGTGCTCCAGGTCACAGCGGATCTCACCCAGCTGGGACTCCACGTTACTGATCATGCACTGCACCTGGGACAGCTGGGAGCTCTAATGCGCCTAGGTTCGGGTCAGGGTGTTTTCCAGAGACTCTCTCAGGTTGTGCTGGGCCTGAAGCTCGATGTCCAGGGCATTGACTGTGCATCTCAGCTCCATGACCTTTGCTTGGCAGGTCTGAAGATGCTCTGAGCTGGACACCACCTGCTTGTTCAGCTCTTCAGACTGATTTTTGTACCATTCTTCCATGTCCCTTCCGGTTGGTCTCCACCAGGGCCTCAAACTGGCACCTGGTCTCGTTCAGCACATGGTTCAGGTCCACAGAAGGTGCAGTGTCCACCTCGACGTTGAGCCGGTCTCCAATCTGGTCTAAGGGACTTGACTTCCTCCTCATGGTTCTTCTTGATGCAAAATAGCTCTTCCAGGTCGGACTTGCACAGGGTCCGCTCAGCCAGGATCCTGCGCAGGCTGTTGATGTTGGCCTCCACCACCTGCCTCAAGGACAGCTCCGTCTGATACTTTGTTCTGAAGTCATCAGAGGTCAGCTTGGCATCATCAGTCTGCACCACCAGCCTGGGATTCTCAGACTTGGTACACAGAATCTTCTGCTGGAGCTCCTCGATGGTTCAGAAGTAGGACTGGTAGTCTCGGCACGCCTAGGGCACCTGCTGCTGGCAGTGCTCACGATGCAGCACTCCAGCTCCGCATTCTCCCGCTCCAGTTCCCGCACCTTCTCCATGTTTTGATTTGCATCTCTCTTAGAGCTAGGGATTTCTTCATATGTTTGTTAGCCATCTGAATGTCTTCTTTGGTGAAGTGTTTGTTCATATCCTGTGACCATTTTTCAATTGTATTGTTTACCTTTATCTTGTTGTGGTGCTCTAGTATTTTATAAATTCTAGATAGAAGTCCCTTTTCTGACATGTCATTACATTTTTTCCCCCAATCTGTGGCTTCCTTCTTTTACCTTGTTGGAGAAATTTTTGGATGTGCATAAGGATTTGATTCTTTGAAGATCCTATTTATCTATTTTATCTTCTCCTAGTTGTAGATTGGTCAGGATGCTTGGAAGACTGTTTATGTTGTGAATTAGGACTTCTAGAGTTCTACCAAGCTTTTCTTGAATGGATTTTATAGTCCTTGGTTTTAGTCCTAGGTCCATAATCCACCTTGAGTTGTTTTTTGTGTATGGAGTGAGGTGTGGAACTTGAATGAGTTTTCTCCAGATAGTTTTCCAATTTTGCCAACACCATTTGTTAAAAAGGCTGTCATTTCACCACTTAACCGATTTCTTCTCCTTGTCTTTCTTCTCCTTGTAAAAAATCAGTCGACCATAGGTAGATGGGCTGATTTGTGGGTTCTCAATTCTATTCCATTGATCTATGTGTCTGTCATTATACCAGTTCCATGCTGTCTTGACCACCACAGCAGTGTAGTAGGATTTGAAATCAGGGATTGATATGACTCCTACCTTGTTTTTTTTTAAGGAGTGCTTTGCTTATTTGAGGCTTCTTTCCATTCCAAATGAAACTGGAGATTGCTCTCGAAGGAGCCCTGGCTGAGCCAACCGCAGTTGCCCACATTGGTGGGATGTTGCAGGCCCCAGGAAGGGTGCAACTGTGGCAGCTGGGGGGCATGCAGAGCTGAGAGGAGCAGCTGGTGTGGCAGCTCAGTTTGGGCAGGCAGCAGGAGTAAGACATGGTGATGAAAGAGGTGATGGAAGAGCCGGTGAACTGCTGGAGGTGGATGCAGATGAGGTGTCTAGAGACACATGTTATCTCTAGGGTCACACCAGCAGAAAGAAGTTCATTTATTTGTTGTTGACTCGCAGATTTTACTCACAGTTGTGGTACTGAGAATGGAGTTTATTATGAGGTAAGTCAGAGAGAGGGGAGACAAAGATTATCACCAAATGTAAGTCCAGGTTTTAGTCTAACAGTCCCAGGCACAGTTCCTCAATTAGTCCAGGTTTCAGTTTCAGTCCATCGTGGAGCTTTTTCTTCCATCATCTGGCAAGAATGGCAAAATAGATAACTGTGGGCTTTATCTCAGGGCTCCTCTGGTTACATCTTGCCACAGTTTAGCCATAGCAATGACAGTCTCTCCACAGCCATCACCAGGTTTTCGCTCACAGAAGAGTCCTACTCCAGTCTTGCTCACGTCTTGTTGCTCAGGGTGGGTATTGCTCTCTCTTACACTAGTCCCTCAGCTGATGATGATTTGCAAGATGATGAGTCTGCAGTTAAGTTAGCTGGAAACCAGAGGGGAATAATGTAATAGCTAAAAAAGCCAATTTTAAATGAACACTGCAGTTCACTTGCAAACTTTTCTACTTTTATAGCCATTATTTCTTAATATTTGACAAATTAGCATATATATATATGGAATCAGGATGGGTGTGTCAGAGGCAGTGCGGTTGGCGCAGGATAGAGCAGGGTTTAGGGCTGTTGTGCATAGGGTCGCTATGAGTCGCAAACGACTCAACGGCACACAACAACAACAACAACAACTATTATATCTATCTCTATCTCTATCATTTCTATCTCTATCTATCTATATATCTATATCTATTCTATATATCATTTATATCTATATCATCTATAACATCTATATCTATATCATCTATGTATGTATCTATCTATCTGTAAAATATGTAAGTCAGCTGTTCCACTACTTTTGTCTTAACCACCCCAATATAGATTGTTGTTGTTATGTGCTACCCAGTCACTTGCAACTCATAACGATACTATGCACAGCAGCTCTAAATCCTGCTCTTATTGCCAACCTTATTGCCTCTGACACACCTACCCTCATTACTCCAGTCATTTAGTTAATCCATCACATCCAGGGTTTCCTTTCTTGCACTGTCTCTCTACCATCCCAAGCGTGACATACCTCTCCAAGGACTGGTTCCTCCTTGCAACATGTCCAAAGTATGTCAAATAAAGCACAGCCTGGTTTCACCATTTCCAGAATGAACCTGTTTGTTCTTGTCCATGGTATATTCAATACTCTTCTCTGACTCTCAGCTCAAAGGCATCAATTCTTCTATCATCACTAGTCATTGTCTAGCTTTCTGATGCATAGCAAATAATTGTGAAGACCATGACCTGGATCAGGCATACCTTACTCTCCAGACTGGCATCATTGCTATTCAATACTCTGGAGAGGTCTCTGAAAGCAGACTTTCCCAATTCAATTAATCTTTTGATTACCTGGCTGCTGGTACCAATAGTGTTGATTGTGTAGCCAAGCAAACTAAAGCTGTTAACAATCTCAATCTCTTCACCATCTATCATGATGCTGCCAATCAGTGCAATGGTGAGAATTTTTGAGTGTTTTGGTTTTTGTTTTATTTTGTTTTGTTTTATGTTGCACTTCAATCCATATTGAAGGCTACAGTCCTTGACTTTGTGCAACAAATGCCTCAGATCCTCCTCAGTTTCAGCAAGTTGTATAATCTGCATAACACAAGTTGTTGATGAATCCTCCTCCAATCTTGATGCCACATTCCTCCTTGTAAAGCCCATATTCTTGGATGATCTATTCCACATACAGAGTGAAAGGTACGGAGATAGGACACCCTTATGGATTTTTGATCCATGCAGTGTTACCTTTCTCTCTTCTGACGCCAAGTATAGATTTCATATAAGCACAATCAAATGTTCTGGGATTCCCATTCTTCTCAGAGTCAGCCACAGTTTGTTGTGACTCACACAGTCAAATACATTTGCATAGCCAATGAAACACAGATAAACATTCCTATGATGCTCTCTGTTTTCAGCCAAGATCCATCTAACATTAGCTATAATAACCCTAGTACCATGACCTTTTCTAAATACAGTCTGCACATTTAGCAGATAGCCAATTGTTAATTTTCCCATTCCTACCAAACCAGTGCTCTGAGGAAACAAGCATGCATTTTTTTCCCCTTGAAGAATCTATTACAGTTGAAACTTTCAGCATCCACTTTCATAAACAAAAGTCTAATCCAGAGCAAACCATTAGGTAACAGTAATTAACACTGGCTCTTAGAATGAACCATTATCTCTTTGTTGGTTGGGTTCTGGTGAGCACATCCCCAGCCATCCTTGGCTAGGTCCATTTGGGAATCACCCACAAACTCAGGAGTCCACCCTTCTTCTTGTGTTTCAGACCACCTAGTTGCCTCACTCAACTTTGGACCCATATGAGCCAAGTAAACGCAGCAGGGATTTTCAGGAATCCCTGCTTTTCAAACCAGTGACCCTTCTTCATTTATCAATTCATCATGCTAGCTGGACAGTGCTCAAGGAAACAAGTCCAAACTCAGCTTGTCACTTCCTCACTGCATATCTCCTGCATCCACTCATCACGTAGACCCAGCTGGTCACCACAAGTTTCACATATTCACCAGCATACTTTAACTAAAGTAAGCTTCAGCCTTCTTCTCACCAAGTTGACCTAGCTGGTCAACATGAATTAAGCACATTCATCAGCTTTACCTAGCCTCTGTTTATTGGCAAAATATCTCTTTTTCTATTTGTCTTCTTTCAAATGATTCCTCCTCACAGTACTGGGTAGGGCTTAATTTTTCTTAGGCGAAGCTCCACGCTCTTTACCAAATTCTACTATTTGTTATAAACATTCTTTCAGGGAAAATTTTGAATTTTTAAATTTCCAATTAATAATCAACTGGCTTACATTTTTCTTCTAAAGTATACTATGTCCCATCAATATATTACTTTATATCTTAACATTAAATCAACAAAAACTTTATTTTTTCAATATATCTTAATATTGTTGTTATGTGCCATCAAGTCACTTGCGGCTCATAGGGATCCTATATACCAAAGCTCCAAATCTTGCTCTCCTCTGTGCCAACCCTGTTATCTCTAACACACCTAGCCCCATTGTGCCAGTCACTGAGTCAGTCCATCTCATCCAGGGTCTTCCACTCTTGCACTGTCCCTCCACAGTTCCAAGTATGATGTCCCTCTCCAAGGACTTTCTTGTAATATGCCAAAGTATGTCATACAAAGCTTCAGAATCTTTGCCTTCAAGGAGCAGCCTGATTTCACCCTCTTTACGTCAAACCTGTTTGTTCTTCTAGCAGTCCTTGGTATATAACACCACAGCTCAAAGGCAACAATTCTCCTTTAATCATCACTAGTCGTTGTTCAACTTTCTGATGCATAGCAAATAAAGACTGTAAAGATTATGGCTTGGATCTTAACATTACAAAACCTTAATATTTTTTCAATAGATCTTAGCATTAAATTTAACCAAAACCTTAATAATTTCTACAGTATATTTCAACATAGCATTATGGCTTACAATAGGGTAGGGAAGTATCATATCTAGACTTTTAAAGAAATTTTTCATTTCCAGTTCATTCATTTTCACACCTTTTTGTCTAAGGCCATAAAGAAGCTTCTCAAATTTTCTTTCCATCTTAGTAACAGCAAAAATAATCTATTTATAAAAATAAACAATACCCCTTTTTGTACATCTTCCTAAGACCTACATCCACTGAAACAAACCATGTTTCTGTGAGTCTGAAACAATGAATCTCACTTCTTCTGACACCAGTTGTGACAAGAACAGTTTTAACGTGAGGATGGAGTAGTCTGCCCTCTACCAGCTTCATAAAGGGTAACTGTCCCCATCAATAATATCCATAGCAGCAAACATATGGCTGCTTGTTCAGACAAGCCACCTCCCATGCTTCTGCATCTCTTTCCAGCAATCACTGGGTTTGATATCCAATGTTGACTCACAAATTTTTACTGATAGCTGTGGTACTGAGAGTGGGGTTTGTTAGGGAAGTAAGCCAGAGAGCTGGGGTAATGGCTTAAAAAGCCAACTTTAAGCTAATAGCTCACACCTTATATTGTTGTTATATGTTGTTGAGTTAGAACCAACCTATAGTTGACCCTCCAGCAGGTCTTCAGAGGCAGTTAATTTTAAGGGAGGAGATTGGCCATCCTCCTGTGGAGCAGCTGTTGGCCTTGAACCAAGTACCTTTGGGATTGCATGGTAGTTTCTTGCTATTAGGCCACCAGAGCTAGTTCTGATATATAATATACGGTCAAGTTGGAGTGCTACTTCTATTGATAACTTCTGCTGAGTTATTTCCTTTTCCAGATACAATTAATAGCCAATAATCTTTAATTTCACCCAGCATACAGACTCTTTTAACAATCTTTGCAGCTCCTTGTGGGTCAAGTCCCCTTGGAAATTCTTCTGAATCTGACAGTCATTTTTAACTTCTAGTTAGTACAGAAATCTGGCCTCTATTAAATAGGGGTCTTACTGTCCCTATGAATATTAATGACCTCAGTTCTGTGATGGCCTCTCTTATTGCTAGCTCTCTTCTACAGAAAAGAATCATGATTTAACTGTTAACTGACACTGCTGCCCCTCTTAACTGCACATTACTGAACTATTTGATACATGGCATGCACTTTACACCCTTCCGTGGTACATAATCTCCTGATTGGTCTTCTGGTACACACTATATCAACATCAGCATGCCCACTTTGCCCAATCTTTTTATTCATTCTCTGCAATATTCTAGAGAAACTTAGACATTTTCATATCTCTGATTATTGAACCTTCTTTTTCTCTGTTAAAACCTATCAGTAAAAGGGAGCTATGGTAGCCTAGTAGTAAGGAGTTGTGCTGTCAAACCAAAGGCATCCAGTTCAAATCTTCCAGCTGCTCCATGGGAGAAAGATGGGCAACTTCTTCCCATATAATG